GGGCAGTTTGATTTCCCAGCAGATTCGGTGGAAGCGGCCCCGCAATGCAGGCTCAAACTCCCGGGGCAGTCGTGGGAAAGTCATGGCCAAGAGGTTTCCCCTGACACAGCTCCCAACTGGGTGCAGATCTCTGCGGCCCAAGAATCCGCAAGACCGTGTCGGGTGGCCCCAGACTAGTCAACTCACTTAGTGGGTTCCCTCTGGTCCCCAGATCTAGAACACTAGAGCTAGGCTGTGCCAGGCGAAGGTGCTGGCGGCGGAAGCGCACAGATTCTGAGGACAAACAGCCCCCAGGACACTTAGAACGACAATTTTTAAAAATTGACTGCTGACAGGCTGAGGGAGTTTGTTTTAGTGCTGAATACCCCGGGAACAAAATCCTTTTGAAAGGAAAGCTAAGTCGTTTCACGCCACCAAAGTGCAGATTTGGTGAAGAATGACTGATGGGACAAAGCGGCGCGGTGAGTTAGCGCGGGTTCCCAGAGAGCGTGGGCAACTTGGGTAAATGCGGAGGCGGCCTGGAAAGGTGGGGCCGGCCAGAGGAGGCCCTAAAACCTAAAATCGATGCTACGCACACCCGAAGACCTTCCCCCACCTGCCCATTTGGTAGAGAAGATGGAAAAAGTAGAGGGGAAAGGAAAAAAATAATAAAGCGAAGACAAGTGAGGGACAAGGGTGCAGTAAGAAAGGAGGAGGAGAGAGAGACGAGGGTGGGGTGGGGAACTCAAGGAGAAGGAGGGAATGACTCTGAGGAAGAAAGGAGGGACAGGGGGCAAAGTAAGGCACAGCCCCCAAACGCTCCAGGCAGCCCGGAGTTCGCTTTCCAAGTCGGGAAGGCGGGTATTGTTTTTGGCGCCTAGGAAACCTTCGGAAGCTGCCGGGTACTTTCCCTCCACCTCCCATCGGTGTTTGGTAAATATTAACAAACCAGGGCGCGTTACCTTCTGGAGTGTGGATGGAGGGGCTGGCCCGGCTCGGGACAGTTTTCCTCTCCAAGAGCCCCCGCCCCCTAACCCCAGCCCCACCGTTCACGCACACATACACCTGCTTGACAACAGAAGGAATCAAAATCAATATTGTATTTGTCACCCCTCTGTCTCCTTTTTACTCCCTCAGCAGCCCGGGTGCCACTGAAGCGAATTGTGGATTTATGGAGGGAAATTAGCATAAATTATTATGAAATCTGTAGCCGTGTGTGGTCCAGCTTGTGGGAAAAGAGGCTATTGCGAACTCTCCAAGCAGAAAGGTGGTCGGTGGTGGGCTCTGCGGCAGCGATGAATGGCTATTGCATGAAAGAGATTTCCATTTGGTTTGCACATGGGTATAATTGACTTATGTGTATTTTATACAGTTTTCCCAACAACTCCCTAAGCCTTGGAGTCGGATGTGCCCCCTCCCCAGAGCCTCTGTTTGCTTTGGGTTCTGCACAATAGACTCTGATGCACTTTTCAAGATTTCTGGAAAGTGCTCCTTCCCTCCTCTTCTTCATAATACCAGTCTTAAAATGCTGTAAATGGCATGCAAATCCCCTCCCCCTTCCCTCAGGCTCTTCAGTAGGATCTGAAATAGAATTTTGTAGTAAAGTACCTGTTTTAAATGTGCATCTCACAGCTCCACCCCACCCAAGGCAAACTTGTGCTATTAGGTTCGATTTCCTTAATTAACCCTGGGCATGGGCAACATGCCTCACCTCCCAACCTCACCCTAGGCAAACTTCGAAGATTCCTCGGACACGAATTCCTACTTGTATCCTCACATGTCTCAGACTTGGTGGTGACAACTTTCCCTGGGGAGATGGACAAAGATTTATTTTAACTTAGATTTTTTTTTTAACCCAAATGCTTCCACTCTTAGAATTTAGTTAATCTTCTGTTTACTCCAAGCAATGATTTCGACAGCCATACAAAGGCCCTTTGCAAGGCAACAAAATGCCAATTGTTAAAACAAGAAAACATTTCTCTCTCTCCCCATCCCCCACCCTCAACAAGCGTGCGCACACACCCTGTAGAAAAAAATCCTCCTGGCTGTCACTGGGGGAACGGAGATCTTTCACTCCTCTCCTCACATATCCCAAATCCAACCACTCTTAATATTTTAATCCATGTTTCTATATATCAGTATGCACACTTTTGCTAAGAAAATCCTAAAAGATCCTTGGGGGCTTCCATGCTGGTACCTTTCCTTCCCAGGAGCACTCCTGCCTCCGCAACGGGAGCACCCTTAGTTTTGTACCTCTGAGGCCAGCTGCTTTCTGGAGCAGGAAAGCTGTGGACCAACGCCTTTCTGTCTTACTACTATTCTTCACCGGGGTCCCTTAGGCTCCAGGTCTCCCCAGCTCCTCCCATCCCTGGACCCTCAAGCCAAACTGGGCCGCTCCAAATAACACCCCCAAATGCCGCACCTTGTTAGGAGCTAAAGCGCGCACAGCTCAGGCAAGTACCGCTGCCTTTGGCCAAAGCTCCGCAGAGGTTCCACCCGAATCCAACTGGTTTATCTGCGGAGGGTTTATCTGCCCTTCTCAAGCCGTGCCCCTGTGCCCCCAGAGACAGGTCAGAGTCCCGCCTCCACCCCTCGAACCCACCTCCTCCTCCTGGTTATTTTTTCCGAATTAAGAAGGTGACATTATTCTTTTCTTCAAGCACTTCTGTTAATATTGAAAAACGTGTGCTTGCATCTCAAGCGAGGCAGCCCAGACGCGAGAGCCATTTCAATATTAATGAAATTGTTTAATCTCCTAAATTCATCGTGTTTAAGTTACGTTTTGGTGAGTTATTGACCACCTCCGAAACTGTGGTTAATGGAGGGGGGTGTGTGTGTGTATATGCACGTGCGCTGAAAGATTTTTATGCTAACTCCAAACAGCTCCACTAATAATGCTCTAATATCACTAGAAGTGTCCAAACTTCACTCCCAGAACTCTCCCACCACCACCACTCCCATCACCTCCTCCTCCTCCTAGGGGGGAGGGAGAGAAAAAAAGTTCTCGCATTTCCGGATTGAAGATGATTCAGTGTGAGCTGTACGTATTGAGTTATTAACAACAAGGTAAAAGGAATTTCTTTTAAAAACCATAAAGGTCGGAGACTGTGCAGAAACCAGTGGGAACTCCTAGTGTCTACTCCTTGACTACGTGCATGCGGGCAGGGTCGACTCACTACTTCATAGCAATATGATGATGCCGCCGCCGCCGCCGCCGCCGCCGTGCCCACGACGATGATGATAATAACAATGATAATAAGAATAATTCATTGTATCTCCGGAGACTAATCCGAACTGAAGGGAGCCTACCGCTGGCACCAGGCAGGGGGACCCTAGGCACATCCCCGCGCTCTCCTTTCTCCCAAAAAGGAAAAGTCTCTGGTTCTTTTCGAGTCTAGAAGGTACTGCTGTTTTCGTGGGTCCGCAGGCAGCGTTTGCTGGGCTCTCTAAACTCTAAATATGTTCTGTCAATTGCGGGGTCGGGGGATGGAGAAGGCGAAAAAGTTCCAGCTGTAAAATGCAAACTTCCATGCAATGCCTAACTCCTAAAGTTTCCAACCACCTGGGGGAAAGCTTGAGACCCTGCCGTTCATCTGGTGATAAAGTGTGTCAAACAAACTCAGGCCCTCCCCCAGCTCCACACGCTGTCTGCCCCAACAGCCCCAGAGCCTTCATCCTGTGCCTAATTAAATTCCTAAAGGACTTTTAGAGTGAAGACCCTGCCTATTCGCCCAGAGAGACTTTTTTTTTTAATTTGGCCAATACACTTACAAAATGGGTTTTTACAAGGGGCTGTCCGATTATATTTTTCTAAGTATTTTTTAAACCCCATCTCTTAAGGCTACACACTCACTGTGTAGAGCTTTGGCAGCAGTCTAGGAAGGTCAAATTAAACTTTGACCTGCCTCTTGGAGGACTAAGGGGAAGGGTGTATTTTCATTATAATAACCCATGCAACCAGCCCCGTATTGCCAAGCGCAGGAAAAGGGTCTACTTCAGGGGAAGCCGTGCCTTAAGTTAGCTAACAATACAAACCCGATACAATGCAGAGGAAACAGAATACCCCAGCCAAGCAATTTCCATGTCAAACATCATCTGCGCGGCAGCTCGGTCTGTGAACGTGAGTGGTCGCCTGAATCCCTGCTCCGAGGCCGCCACCTCCTCATACCTTCACACCGCGCACCCTGGCCGGCGTCCCGCTCACCACCGGTGGCCGAGGCTCTTCCCCCTCGCCCAGTCTTGAGCTGGAAGTGATTCCTATTGGCCAAGGTGTCCATGTAAATAGGTGTGAAAGAAACCAGAGCTGGCCTGGCTCTCCCCTCTCGCTCAGTCCCCTCCCTCTGCAGCCCCCGCTCCCCCTCCTCTTCCTCCTCCTCCCAAGGCGATTGTCATATGATAGCTAAGAAGTGGCACATTAATGAAGCGCCGCTACAGGGGTCTTTTCTGCTCCTGTCACCGCTTAAAACTATCAGATGGTTCGAGGGAGGACATGGAGGCAGCCACCTAGCTCAGCGGAGCCGCGGAGCCCACAGCAGCGCCCTCCGGAGCCCCGCGGCCGCCGCTGCTACCGCCTGCACTCGGACTCCGCAGCCGAGCTTGGCCGCCCGGGGATCTCACGGCCAGAAGCTCTGCGGACTGGTCGGCTCCCGGCGCTGCAGGGCTGAGCTGCGAAGCTCAGAGACGTGCGGAGCCCAGCCGAGACCGGACATTGAGCCCCAGCTGAGCACTGGGAGAGACCCGAGAGCTGCAGTGCCATCCCGGATGCGGATGCACAACTTGGAGCAACTTTAAGGTGAGCCCTCTGGTTGCATCCCTGCCCCAGTCCCCGCTCCAGGTCCAGCTTCCCCTCCCGCGCCCCATGGCCGCACCCCACTCTGCACTCAAAGTTGCCAGCTAAAGAGCGCGGGCGCGGTCTCATCCCGCGCCGCAGCCCCTACCCACCAGGTCTGGTCTGTGGCTGACCTTGCGGTGTCTGTCTATGCATCCATGCCCCCCCCCCATTATCTTCCCCCTGTCCAGATCCAAGAAGCCGCCGGCCCGCGCGGACCCAGAGCAAGAAGGGGGCAAACAAGAAGATGCCTCGGCCCGGCCGCAACACGTACAGCGACCAAAAGCCGCCCTACTCGTACATCTCGCTGACCGCCATGGCCATCCAGAGCTCGCCGGAGAAGATGCTGCCGTTGAGCGAGATCTACAAGTTCATCATGGACCGCTTCCCCTACTACCGGGAGAACACGCAGCGTTGGCAGAACAGCTTGCGCCACAACCTCTCCTTCAACGACTGCTTCATCAAGATCCCGCGGCGGCCAGACCAGCCAGGCAAGGGCAGCTTCTGGGCGCTGCACCCCAGCTGCGGGGATATGTTTGAGAACGGCAGCTTCCTGCGGCGCCGCAAGCGCTTCAAGGTGCTCAAGTCCGACCACCTGGCGCCCAGCAAGCCCGCCGACGCCGCGCAGTATCTGCAGCAGCAGGCCAAGCTGCGCCTCAGCGCGCTTGCGGCCTCCGGCACGCACCTGCCACAGATGCCCGCCGCCGCCTACAACCTGGGCGGCGTGGCACAGCCCTCGGGATTCAAGCACCCCTTCGCCATCGAGAATATCATCGCTCGCGAGTACAAGATGCCTGGGGGGCTGGCCTTCTCCGCCATGCAGCCAGTGCCCGCCGCCTACCCGCTCCCCAACCAGTTGACTACCATGAGCAGCTCGCTGGGCACTGGCTGGCCACACGTGTACGGTTCCGCAGGCATGATCGAGTCAGCCACCCCTATCTCCATGGCTAGTGGCGATTACAGCGCCTACGGCGTACCACTGAAGCCGCTGTGCCACGCAGCAGGCCAGACGCTGCCCGCAATCCCGGTGCCCATCAAGCCCACACCAGCCGCAGTGCCCGCGCTGCCCGCGTTGCCCGCGCCCATCCCCACCTTGCTCTCGAACTCTCCGCCCTCGCTCAGCCCCACGTCCTCGCAAACAGCCACCAGCCAAAGCAGCCCCGCCACTCCCAGTGAAACGCTCACCAGCCCGGCCTCCGCCTTGCACTCGGTGGCGGTGCACTGACCCGCAGCAGCCCGAGCCCCCTCTTGTCCCTCTCCCCGCCAGCTTATTCGCCTTCCCCGCCTCCCAGCCCTGCCCTCCCCCACCTAGGACCGCCACCCTAACTTGTCCATTTCATCTCCGGCAACCCTCTCTCCCCCAGGAGAACTTTGTTTTGGACCCAGGAGACAAAACACAAACTTGCAGATGGCCTGGCGGCACGTGGAAGCTGTCCTTGCCTCCACAAGAGGGGAAGGCAGGGGGCACCTGAGCCAAGCCCTCCGATTCCCGGGGCCCCTCGAAACCCCCTCCCATTTAAGAGGCAGGGGAAATCCTGCTTCCCGCTTCGCGGAGAGGAGCGCGTCTTCCCTCGGCCGGGCGGAATCCGCGGGCGCCCGGACTCCGCGCAGTTAGTTCCAAGACAAGAGAAACCACCTCAGAGGTTTCCTCGAACAGATCTCCCCTGAGGGCTGCAGCCGCACCGCGGAGGGCCGGATCTCGTTTACGTCTTGGAAATCTGCCGGGAAAAGGGACCACTAATCTTCCTACCCCACTCGCCTCCGCCCATCCGGCAGGGGCTGGGCGGACCACAGCTTCCCGGAGTAGCGGCCCTGCCTCCCCAGCTTCTGCGGAGTTGTTTTGTTTTGTTTTGGGTTTTGTTTCCTGCCAGAGGCTCCAGGCACTGGGACTTAGGGGAGAGGCTGCCAAACTGAGAAGCGGACACTTGTTCTCAACACGAGCAAAACAAAACTAAAAGTAACCTTGTAGTATTGTTTACAAAGACGCCCGGTAAAATGTAAACAGTGAACTTGAATCTGTATTGCTTGGCGGGCGAGCGGGCAAAGCCCACTTCACAAGTACCTGTTGTAATGTGAATGTTTACTCTTCATTTCTGGCCAGGTTTGGGGAGGGAATGGGGATGGGAAAGTTAATTGGGATGTTAACTTTCCGATTACTTAGAGACCTTTTAGCTATTTATTTTATTGTTGGAAGGAAAAAAAAAAAAAGAAAAAGAAAATGAAATAAGCCCAAACTAAGAAAAGCATCAAGGGCAACGCTAGAAGAACTTAGATAGCTGACTGGTAACATGAAGGAGATGTCACCGGATAGGTCTCCCATGGACAAGTCTTTCGTTTGCTACAAGAACTTTCCCAAGAAGCTAAAAGGGCTGCAAAGAGATGTAAATGATTGTGAATAGGAATGATTATACACTGTGTAAAATGCACTTTTGTTTGCTATATTCCTTTAGAGTCTTAGGTAATTTGCTGGAAAACGAACTGTTGTTCTGGTGTGACCTGCTTAAGTTAAAAAAAAAGTTGTAGTGTCATCAGGGCTGTAAAATTTTTACCTTTCATTTTTCTCCTTCCCTGTTCAGAATTAGCATGGCATTTTAAATATTGATGTTCTTGTTCCCAGCATGCCTGTTTTAAGACAAAGAATTTTAAAAAGCTGTCTACATTAAATTATGAATCTAGTCCAAATAATATTTTCTCATTAAAATATGTAAATCCAAATTTCAGTTTTGTGTGTTTTTGAAGAGTTGCTGCAAACAATAACTTCACAAAAGATAGATGTAGTGCTTCTCTAAGCATGATTTTTATAATACACTGAATAGTCTCTTTCATATCTTATTTTTAAAATAGTCAAATCTCTTCTTATGCACTTGCAGACTGGTGGAGAAATGATTCAAATGGACTCCTGAAGCAGAGGGAAAGAGGAAACTATTTCTAGAATAGATCAGGTGCACAGGTGTAGTGCTGAAAAACTGTCGTTAAAAATTGCAATACTTTCTATGTATTTTTGTCTACCTTAAAATTTACATTTTACAAAATATACTGAATGTAAGGTTTATGTAGAAATCAGATAGAGGCTATATGTAGATATAAAAAGTAAAAACAGACTTGTTTACTCAGTGCTCCTATTCTGATGCATCTTATTTAGAGTATTCATTTCCTTGCTCCTTTAAATTATTTCAGTTGTGGAAATTTTCATTTTCAGAAGTTACCTAGAAGTTCACCTTGCATGTCAAGAAACCTGTTCACTTTGAATAGAACAGATTTCTTTTCACTCCTTCATGTGGGAAAATAATGCTCGATGCATTTATTTTAAGGAAGTGAATGAAGTTAATTTAAGTGCTTAACTCTAAGTATTTGCTTTTCTTCAGATTTTTGCAGAGAATTACAATTTGCCAAGGATTTATGGCTCAAGGCCAACTGAAACTTTACTGAAAGGGTCACAATATTTCCAGAGCGAGGTGTGTATTCAACTAATGAAGTTACAAGACAAAGAAAAACTTAAATGGTGATTAACACTTTACTGTGTAATATGATTAAACAAAGACCTTTGTGCAGTACAGAGAAACCCACACAAAAATCATGATCACTATATTCCATAAGGAGAATCCTTAGCACCTGCGACCCTTACATATTTAGAGGGTTATCTGGAAAAAAAAATAGGATTAATGCAAAGGGTAATTAATCCTGTTGTGACCATTTTTTAAAAGGAAGGATCCCACACACAGCCAAAAAAAAAAAAAAGTGGAAAATAAATGAATCATTGGACTGATTAAAATGCATGAAGCTACTAAAGCTCGTCAGACAGGGGACAACTAAACTCATTCATCAAGCCCAATTCACAATTATATCAACAAGATCAGCAAAAGAAAGCCTGGAAAACTTATCCACCCCTGGCTAGGAAACTCTTGAAACTTTGTTCTTAACAAGACATCATCTACGTTTAAAAAATTAAATACATTGTCATCATTTCCTGAAAAATAAAATGAAGGCCATTTCTGGAATATTCTAATCTCACTGAATTTACTAACACTGAATTCAAACTGGGAATGAAGGGCTAACGTGGGCCTTAAACATTTTATAAATTATCAGCTTAATCAGGTAGAATATTTGTCCTATAATAGGCAGTAGAATGTATATATATAAATGTACACATACATACACTTAATAAATGGGAGTAAGATGCAGATGCTATTTCTGATTTTTAGCAAAGGAGTGATTTCAACTCACTATCTGAAAATGTTCTTTTCAGCTAGTAGCTCGTCATGGTGTATTGCAAAGAATGAAATAACTTGGGAATTGGGAGCCCTTCTTTTACAACTGCAAACATCTTTTCTCAAAGTTGAATGAGTAAAGTAAAAAATCCACTGATGATATTTTGACCTTGATTAGAAATCCAAAGGCAGTCCAAACAACACGTCTCCACCCTGCTCCATCCCCAGCTTTGAGACTTATGCCCTGTTTAGCTGAAGTGCCCCCACAAACAAGGAAGTTTATAACTATGATACCTTCAATGGCTCTCTTTGTCATGTTAAATCTTTTCACCTGGCTCAAGTCCAAAGTCAATACACACAGCTTTAAAATAAAACTGGAAGAGACAACACCATGCAGTGAGGTGTACATTCGGGGGTCTTATCCTAAAGATCCAGTTAACTTATATTTCCTATTTTGCAAATTTGGGCCTTTTTAAAATTTAGGTTTTTGATTTGGAAACTTGGCTGTCCTGTTACTTTTGGTTTTTAACATGATTCTGTACTCGACTGTATTTTTTAAATGGCCTTCTCTGTGATTGGGGGAAATGCTTACACAATGGATGAATTTTGTACACTTTCTCAAGAGAGAAGCTGCAGAAATTCTCACTGTTCCTGTTGCCTGAGTTGGGGAGTTTGAGAAGCCTGAAGACTAGCAGGAGCATTGCTAGTAAATGATCCTTAGAATGGTTTAAATATTATAGCAGTGAGTTTAATTCCTTTAATAGATGAGAACATTGAGTGTCTTGGAAGCATAAATCTGGCCAGGTGCTGGAATGGGGTGAAGTTGAGGAGTGGGTGGGAGGAAGAAGCCAATGGAGTGCCGCAAACAGAAGGTTTTACATTAGTGTATGCAAGGTTGGGGTGGGGGCATGGTTTATACATTTACCAATGTAAACTCCCTTTTTAAAAGGTATCCATTTAAGAAATGAAAAGGATCAGGATCTGCTCTAAAATTCTTAATATAAATGTCAATTAATTTTTTTTTTCCTGAAGCCACATATGCACAGAGACACCCAAACAAAAACAAAACAAAAACAATCCAACCCACCGGCTGTGAAGCCTCAAAGGGGATGCATTTGTTTCGTTTAAACTAACAACAAATTATCTAATTAATATGTTTCAATTACAGCATGAAAGGCACAGCCCCTGGACCGCCCGCCGTGGGGGCACAATAGCCTCAGAGCCCACTCTAAGAATTTACAATAACTTCACATCTGTTTCTTTATTTTCCACTTTTTGAGTCTAAAACTCCTCTCAAGATCACTTCAAACCACAGACTGAGTTATGAAATATGTCCCAGTGTTAAAGGGGGATGAAACTTTGCCCACGATGCTTCATTTGCAAGCAAAAAAGTGAAAGCCCATTGAAGAGCATTAAACAAATATATTAGAATTCTGTCACTTTATGCAATTGAGTAGATCAAATGAAGGGTCCCGGCCACTTCATTCACTCTCATTCACTCGAATAGAAAATGCAAAGAATAGCAACCCGAGACTGGGCCACCGATGTAGATTTAGCTCCTTTTTACTGGGAGACAAAAAGGCTGAATTTTCACAAACACATTGCTGACTCGGGGACTAGGAAACCGGCACTGGAACCCCTTTGGAATTTAAATTCATTTTATCTTCCTCTCTCTTTGCGGAGATCTGTTTGCACTACAGTGCAAGATGCAGCAGGCATCCTTTGGCTTCTGAAAAAATGGGGGAGGGGAAGAAAGTGAGTGGGGGTGGTGATGTGGGCCTCAGGATTCCCAAGAAGCTCTTTGGTGGTCAACTAACACTCAGGTCTGAGATAACTCTAAATAAATCTTTATTTACATCAATATAAGCATCATTATATCACACATATCTCCAAGTCTCTTACCTCCTTGCTTGGCATAGATTACATAAAACAGCTTGTTTTCAAAGACCTGAATTGCATCTGGGTCAACTGTTTTCTTCAACTAGTATCTGGTCAGTGATGTTACAACAGATTTGAAACCTGAGCTGTCAACCTCACCTGGTCAAT